AAAGAGGAAAAAGCAGCAAGAGGAGGCAACTTTCAACAGAAAACTAGAGTGATGCCCTGATTCAAAAGGCAAACATGTTCTAGACTGGAGGCCCATGACTGCTTCCCCCTCACCCCCAAATAAAAGTAGTGATATTAAGCAAGCTTGTTTAAATATGACTATTGTCATGTAATAATTCCTTTTCAGCCTTAAGTTCAACCAATGCCCCTACCTCCCATTCCAAATGACAGGAATAGGGAAGAGCTGTGGTTACAACAAGCAAGACGAAGGACAGTTTCCTATTCGGGACAAAGATGCATGTTCTTAAATGCATTGTAAAAATGCATGAGTTTTGCAAAACATGAGCACAGTTCTCTCAAAAGTTACTTTTAAGCTGTCCAAAGAAAACTTGGCCAACATCAACAGATTCCTATGAGCTGAACAGGCCTGCAGCCAGAAATTTTGTGGCAAAGAAGCCTAAAGATATATCAGGCAAGGAGAAGAGTAAATACAGAACACCCAGAAACTACGTACACAGAGCCGAATACATTTGCAGTACAATCATATACAGCTGAGATGTGACATAAGACATACATTTTTGCTGTCAAGCCTTTTCCATCATGAGAATTACTTTTGTAACCAAACCCTTTGGGATTTTAGAGCTGTAACATTTAGGCCACAATCCCTTGCATGTTCAGACAGAATAAAGTCCTGTATCTCAAAGCAGTCTCAGCATTCTCCCTCAAGCATTACCTGGAAGGGCTAGGACTTGAGCCTGGGAACTTCCGTATGGCAGCCTCCTCTGTTCTCACACATCTGAGGGGATGTGCAACATGGTGCTTCCAGGGCCACCACCTAATCTAAAACCAAACTGGCTTTTATTGAGGAATATCACTTTAATTGATGCATAAATCTAAGGAAAATCATATGAGTTTTGACAATTAAGATCGCTCAAAGAGAAAAAATCTGTAATTTTCATCTGATCATTTCTGTCTAGAGTTGTTTTATTTTTAGTCATCATTTCCTATGATCTCCACATTCCCCTTTTCTATCTTAGACCCTTCCTTCCTCTTCAACTGCAAAAAATGAATCTATCATCCAAGAATCTACCAGCATCAAATTTGGTGTGATGTGATACGCACCATCGCATAAGCTTAGGTAGGTGATAATTATGAGTATCACAACAGGTATGAAATGGAAATTTAAGTCTTTCTTTACCTGCTCCATTCCTGATGAAACTCCCTTGCTTCTGATTGCATCAGGGAGGAAATCGCAAAGTGTGGTACCGATAAGGATTACCATCTGGTGCAAGCAGCACCTTCTGAGGAGAGGCTATAGCCCAGACCAGCAACAGGGGAAGAAAGGTAAATCTCCTGTTCTTCCTGCTGTGATCCCCAAAATAATCAGCCATGGATAAGCAAATTGTCTAGTTTTCTTCTGCCATGATAAAAGACAGGCATGGGACTATATTCACATTGCAGCAGCATAAGCTATATGTGAAGAACTCGGATATATAGCAAAGGCACAAAATAGATAACTCACCCTTGTGCCAAGAGAGGTGCTTTTCCTAGGGGGTGCTAGGAAGTGATTCCAGCAAGATTTTACTTAGCCAAGAATTTTTTTTGTATATTCTCAGAGGGCTTCCATTAGCTTACAACAGGGGTGGAAAACCTGTGGCCATTCAGACATATTTAACTGCAACTCCTCGGAGCTCTAGCCAAAATAGCTAATGGTGAGGAGTGCTAGTAGCTGAACACCAAAACATCTGGAGGGAAACAAGTTGTCCACTTCTGGGTTGGATGAATGATTGGACAGAAAGGCAAACAACTTCCCTAATAAGCTAGGGAACAATTTTATGTGTGCATTCCTCTGTGAATGGGAATCTCTCACTCTCACTCACACACACAGAACAAGTAATCTGCAGAATGATATAGCTGGAGCCATGCACATATATAGTCTTGCCAGGTTTTTGGGAACTGGGTTGATCAGCTGATCAGTATGAGAATTTACTCACCACCCACCCGCCTTGCCCCAGAAAAATACCTGGTTGGTGCACTTGCTGCTAATCTGGGAGACCTATACAACTACAATGTTTTGGGTAGTTGAATCTGATATGTACTGACATTAATTATATCCAAATAGTGGCCTGGCTTTCTCTGTAGATTCTTACAAAGAAAGGCTGGCTCAGCAGCCAGTGTGGGTGTACTGTTAAAGGAAAGGGGACATGTTGATTCAAAACCCAGCTCAACCTTGGCTCTGTCACAATCTCAGTCCACCTGATTTCAGAGGGTTCTTGTGAAGTGAAAGAACAGGGATAAATAACCAGAATTACCATGTCTGCTGCCCTGAGTTCCTTGGATGCAGGGAAGGTTAAAATGAAAGCAAATAATTATTGATGTCCCATCGGTGAAGGTGTTCAAGGATAGGCTAGGCATGCACATGGTAGGCATGTCATGAGCAGAGCTGGCTGGAGCTGGGGGTTAGACTAGATGGTCTGGGAGACCCCCCTCTGACTCTCTCAGTTTCTATGTTTCTACATCAAAATAAAAGCACAAACACCCCACTAGTCCTAGGTGGCAAGGGCATGCCAATTGTGACATTTTGTTCTTGTCCATGTAAACATGAACAAGAGTAATTTTTCTGCTGCCATTGATGACAAGAACTACTTTGGAGTTTCAGGAGTGAAAATTCATTCCTCTCCTTGTGAAGTACTAGTGGGACTAGGGAAAAAGCAAAATGTTTACCTTAATACTGATTATATTTGCTGAACTGTATAAACATGGACTAGAAGACTTTAAAACTGAGGCATTTGCTAGACCAGCCTAATATAGCATTAACATGCAATTCAAACTAAATGTGATGGCAGCAGACGCATGAGGCAGATGGTATTGTGCTTGCCCCTGATTTCTATGCAATGGGAATGGGAGAACCTAAAATACAGAATGAGTGGGCATGTCTTCCCTAGCCATGCTTTCCTTCCCAATAACCCCCTGCCCTGTTCCTCCCCAGTTATTTTTCTGGTAGAAGGGCTCCAAGATAAAAATAGTCCTCACTCAGAGAACCAGGGCTGAGAGTGGTTATACAGTTGCCACTTTTTAAACAAATATAAAACCTTTTCATCAAATGGTGCCCACAATGGCTCACAGCTACGAACTACAAAATAAAATGCAAAACAATGACCATCCACATAAAAGCAGGGCGGGCGGAACCCATCAATAAAAGTGATGAAAGTGAAATCAACTGCCATGTGTCTATAGTGCTTACAGCACAGCAATTTCTGAGGCAAAGATCAGTCTGTATAAAAATATTTTTGTCAACTATTTGTGAAATGCAAACAGAATTTTCAGCATCCCTCTCATACACTCATGCTTTGCTTTCTATTTCGCATTTTCATATGCAGGCCATAATAATATTTAGTTTAGTCAAGGTATTTTTCTCACACAGCTGTTGCAACTAACCTATGATAGTGTAATTACCTATCCCCCAACACATTCTTCTCCAAGTTTTTGTGATAATTTATCACAAAGGATTTCAAGTCAGTCTGGAACTCAGTGCTGGTCAATCCAAGCCCTTCATTTTCTGAATACTAATGTCAGGAAGAATTGAGATTAAAAACTCTAACTCAGTAGTAGAATCACATGCTTTGCACTCAGAAGTTCCCAAATTTGATCCCTGGCATCTCCAAGTAGGTCTGAAAAAGCTCCCACCTGAAACCCTGGAGAGCCACTGCTTCCAGTCAGTGTCCATGATACAGGACTAGATGGACCAAGGGTCTGACTCAGTATAAGGCAATTTCCTATGTATCAACAGCATGTTAGAATTGGTCCTGTAAACTGTGTTCTCCACCTCTCCATAGAAGGCTGTTAAATAGAATATCAGTTATAGCTGTGGTTTTATTAGACACTTTATCTAGCAGGCAGCTCATAGCTTGGTGGTAGAAGCACATGATCATCTCCAGAAGGGTCTCAGATGAAATCCAGTTAAAAGGCTGTGGTCGTGGCAGGAGAATGACTATGATTCTTCTGAAACTCCAGATAACCAATGTCTCAGAATAGGGCTAGATGAACTTGTAGTATGACCTGATGTAAGGCAATTTCCTATGTTCCCAGTGATGCTTGTGGCATGTACTCTCACTCTACTTTCACCTCTGCCTAAACAAAGGGGGGAAGGATTGATATTGTTTCAAATTCCTGTAAAACTGGTTTGACCAGAAGCACCACAAGGGTAACACAAGCGGGTGGCTGGCTCCCTCAAGCCGCTTGGGCACTTTCAACTACGCTCTAGCTCCAGTTTTATGCATCCACAAAAGACCTTTTTATTTAAACATCATTTTAATTGTTAAAACATATGATCTGGCCAGGGCAACTTCTTCTTCCTTCTCTTTCTCCTCCTATATTTTTATTTACTTAATTTATACTGATAATTTTAATCTTATATTTGTAAACCAATGTATTTTTTGTATTTTGTATTTAATGGTAATTTATTATGTGCTATTGTATTTCATTGTATTTTATCGTGTTGTAAGCCGCCCCGAGGTTTCGGCAAGGGGCAGCATAGAAATGTTATAATAATAATAATAATAATCTCCTTCGATAATGGGAGACACTTTGAGAATTTTAACAGATCAAAAGGCAGGATATAAATCTCCTGAAGAAAAAAGAAAGAAAAATATTTGCACACGCCATATAGCATAAAAATAAATTCTAAACAAAGCTTCAAAGGATACCCGCCTCCTTCTGCACACACACTGGTATCATAATAAAAACTTTAAAAGTTATCTGTGGGTGTCATCAGCAGTCAGCAACTAGGATCACAGCGGATCTTTGCTATATTAGTCAACTGCAACTCAAAAGTTCATGCAAATTAGCAGTAATCCATTCGTTTAAATTTGTGCAAACATGTATGCTTTTCATATTTAATTTTAAGAATGTTCTTTATTTCCCCTCCACCCACCAGGGAGAAACCTTATTCACCCATTTGCTTGTAGTCAGACACATGGAGAGTGCAAGAAGGCAACCTACCAAGAGTGGAGACCAGCAGGCAAAGAGGACACACATGATGCCCAGGAGCTGGATCAAGGTCTCCATGGTGATCCTACCCCACTGCCTCCGGGACTGGCACCGACACACCAGAGCAACAATAGTCGATATGTTGCACACCATGGTGATGGTGAGGGAGAAGAGACCCAAGAAAGCAAAGGTTGAAGCAAAGATGACATTGCCCACCCTGGGACCTTCTTGGTCCTTCGTGCTGATGAAGCACCAAGTGCCTGGCCACTGAAGTGTATACTTTCCAATGCCAAGGATGGGCAAGAGAGCAAAGGCAAAGACGGCCAGCCACACGCTGAGGAGGACAGACTTGGTCAATCTGGTCTTCATATGGCCAGTGTACCAGTGGGGCGCACGAATGGCCAAGGCCCTTTCAATGGCCATGGCACTGGCAATGAAGAGGGGGCACAGGCCAAAGACAGTCATGCTCAATCCAAAGAAGGTGCACAGGTGCAGCGAGGGGTCAACCGCCCGCCAGTTTCTGTTGGCCAGGTACACGGCAATGACGATCGGACTGGTCAGGAGCTGCCCGGAGAGATCGGTCAGGGCCAGCGAGCCTATGCAGAGCAAGAAGGACTTCTTCCGCTGGTTCTCTTTCTTGTGGTAGGCTCTGTACACCAGCAGCATGGCCAGCCCGTTGCCCACTATGCCGGTGATCATCATGGTCAACGGGAAGACCACCGAGACGGATCCGCACTCGCCCTCGCCGGGAAGGGTGGCGTTGCACCTCTCCTTCGCCGCGGCGCCCGGGCTCCGGAGGGCCATGGCGGAGGTGGGCTTGAGCCGGCAGAGAGAAGTCACGCTGCTCGCTGGAAAGGCGAAAGGAGCCGTGGCGGCGACAGGAGCGAGCGGCGAGCGCAGCACTCCCATCCCATCGTGCGGCGTCTGCGGCTCGCCGCGGGTGCTGCGCAGCGCAACGCGGCCCCTGCTGCGGGCGGGAGAGGCGAGTCGCGACTTTATGAGAGGCGGGCAGAGGGGAGGAGCCCCGCCGCCCGCCGCCCGCGCCTCGCCTCGGACGTCTGCGGCTCGGCCCTCAGGAGGATCCCGAACTTTTGCCTTCGCTTAACGCGGCGCGCGGGGAGGGGGGCCGCGGTTGCGGGCTGTTTTCCACCCCATCCCGCGACTGCCTTATCGGATCCCGCTTGCCAAAGGCGCTTTTAACTCCGAAAAGAGAACGCTGGGACCAGGAGCAGGCGGCTAAACGGAGGCTCAGGTGACAGTTCCCACCTGAGACTGCCGTTGTCGCCACTCAGATCTCTAAATGATGACAAGGTTAGAGCAGCTGTAGTTATTTATTTTGTTCTATGTGGTGGTAGCGAATGTTCTATGGTGGTAACGAATTGTACCTTTTCCCATGAGAATAAATAAGCCCCAATATGAATATGCCAAGGACCACATGATTTCAGAGAGTCCTTTCTCATAGACCTCCCCTTATCCTCAACTATTACTGCGTTGAGATTTTGGAAAAGCAAGGACACTTCTCGTCCAGCCAGAGAAAGCTTACAAACAAGAGAACTATGACACCGTAACAGCGATACCTTGGATATTACTATTATCCCACTTTTCTTCCTTTTGCAAGAACCCAAAGCAATTTACAAGATTCTCCTCTCCATTTTATCCTTGATATCCCTGTGGTCAAGTGGGGACTAGAACCCAGTTCTTTGGAGTCCCTGTCCAACACTCTAGCCAGTATACCACACTTTTATTAATATAAGTTAATTAATAAGTCACCTGAAGGTGTCCTGATTTACATATTCATTTTATTAATTTGCCAACATCTGTTTGCAAATTGGAAACAAATTTCTAATCTGCCCCGACAAAGCTGGTTATTGAATGGCGTAGGAACGTGATAGCTCTAAATTTTCAAATTTGGTTCCATATTGAACTACACAAATACTTTTGGCAATATCCTGACCCTATTTGAATAAAGAAAAGCTAGCAGTTTTACTTGAGCCGTTGGCAAAGGAGAAAGTGTTTTAAGCAACTTTCATCTGCAACAGCTGCGCCATCCAGTGGTCTATTGAGCTATGAATGTGGTACATCAGAGTTTGAAATATTTTTGCACGTAATAAAGTTAAGCATCTGAAGCTATAGAAATAAACTTTGGCATATGCTGTTATCTTAACTAAGAACAAGGCTTTGGTCTCTAGACATTATTTAAGCGGCTACAGGATAGTTTGGATTCCCAGCTTCACCTTCAAGAGCTCCAGTTCTCTTCTGCCCCCGCCCCGGCATTCAGTATGGACAGAATTGCACAAAAGGCAGGCAGCCTCAGTAAGGGGAAATTGGGGGTGGGGGTGGTGGAACAGCCGGGATATGAGGTATCCTGAGGTTGCTCCAAACTCCTTCCCTCTGACTCTGAAATGCTTTTACTAGTTGGTCAAAAAAGGCTATCTAGCAAAAATGCAGAGTAGGGTGGGCATCAGGCCCCGTATGTATGGTTTTTGTATGCCATCCCATCACTTAACGCCTCAGGATGGCTTACATAAATAAACAAACATGGTACAAAAACAAACAAATTATACAAATTAAAAACCCGATTCATTCTGGCTGAAAATTAAAACCTATAGTTAATATTAAACATTGTTAAAATATTGTTTGAATAAAAAGGTCTTAGCCTGGCGCCGAAAAACAAATAACGATGGCGCCAGGTGGACCTCTCTGGGAAGCGCATTCCATAGATGGGGCGCCACTGCAGAGAAAGCTCTTCTCTGGGTACTTAGCCTCCTGATGTCTTTCACGGAGGGTTCCCAGAGGAGGGCCTCTGCTGCTGCTCTCAGGGGGCAGGAGGGCAAATATGGAAGAAGGTGTTCCTTCAAGTATCCAGGCCCCAAGCCGTTCAGGGCTTTATAGGTGATGACCAGCAACTTGAATTGAGCCTGGACTTCGATGGGCAGCCAGTGAAGCCGGTAGAGCACTGGGGTCATGTAAGAATAACGCCCAGTCCCCGTCAGCAACCTGGCTGCTCTATTTTGCACCATCTGAAGTATCCGGACTGTCTTCAAGGGCAGCCCCACGTAGAGCGCGTTACAGAAATCCAACTGGGAAGTAACCAATGCGTGCGTCACTGTCGCTAGGCAATCGTCCTCCAGGTAGGGATGCAGCTGATGAATTAGCCGAAGCTGAAGGAAAGCGCTCCTCGCCACCACAGTCACTTGAGCTTCCAAGGACAGCTCCGGGTCGAGGAACACTCCCAAGCTGCGGACCCTGTCCTTCAATCAACCGCATTCAGTGCAAGGTCCAAGTCACTCATGCAGGAGCTTGAACCACCCACCAACAGGACCTCCATCTTGTCTGGATTGAGCTTCAGTTTATTGGCCCTCATCCAGCCCATTACCTCGGCCAGGCACTGGTTCAGTACAGCCACTGCCTCACCTGGATTGGTTAAGAGAGGTAGAGCTGGGTATCATCAGCGTACTGATGATTCCGCAGCCCTCACCTCCTGATGACCTCTCCCAGCGGTTTCATGTAGATGTTGAATAGCAAGGGGGACAAAATGGACCCCTGCGGTACTCTATGGCATAGCTGTCATGGCACAGAGCCAAAGTCCCCCAGCACCACCTTCTGGAATCGGCGGTCAAGGTAGGAGTGGCACCACTGCCAAGCAGTGCCTCCTACTCCCAGTCTCATTAGCCTATCCAGAAGGATACTATGGTCAATGGTATTGAAGCCGCTGAAAGGTCCAGGAGGACCAACAGGGACGCACTCCCCGTCTCTATCCCTGCACAAGTCATCATACAGGGCAACCAAGGCAGATTCAGTACCATATCCGGGTCTGAAGCCGGACTGAAATGGGTCCAGATAATCAGTTTCATCCAAGAGAGGTTGGAGTTGTCCCGTCACCATCCCTCAGAGAGGCGTTGACCTCCAAGATCCAGGCACCAATCTCATGTTTGGCCTTGGTCAGTAGCCAAGACGGGCAAGGGTCGAGTAAACAGGTGGTAGGACATACTTGTCCAAGCTCCCTGTCCACATCATCAGGCCGCAACAACTGAAACTCATCCAACAATATGTGACGGCGATATCGGCACCTCCCCTAGAGAATCTGAATCACTAGTGGAATCCAGCTTGTGACGAATCTGAGCGATTTCTCCTTAAAGTGCTGGACAAAGTCGTCACAGCAGGCCATTGAGGGTGGCACACGATCTTTCCTGAGGCCAGAATGTACCAGCCCCTGTACCACCCAAAAGAGTTCTGCTGGACGGCACTGTGAGGAGGCAATTGAAGTGGAGAAGAATTTCTTCTTCGCCGCCCTCACTGCCACAGCATAGGCTCGATAATGAGCTCTTAAGTGTGCTTGATCAGATTCATCCCGTGATTTCCTCCACTTACGCTCTAGATGTCTCCCAAGCCGCTTCATCGCCTGTAATTCAGGTGTATACCAAGGGGATGAACGGGCTCTGCCAGACAGGAGAGGACGCTTAGGAGCGATCGTGTCAATAGCTCTGGCCATTTCCCCATTCCACAGTTCAACCAGAGCATCAACAGGAGTGCCAGCCTTTTCAACCAGAAACTCCCCCAGAGCTTTCAGGAATCCATCCGGATCCATCCTGCTCCGAGGGCAGTCCACACCCTTACAGAGGGAAAGGTCGACATTGAGCTCAAACTTCGCAAGGAAGTGGTCTGACCATGACAGGGGAGTCAAACATAAATTGCTCACCCTCAGATCACCCTCTTCCTGCCCCATCAAGAAAACCAGGTCCAGTGTGTGTCCACGTTCATGGGTCGGACCTATGACATGTTGAGACAGCCCCATGGCCGTCATGGAGGCCATGAAGTCCTGAGCTGCCCCAGACAGAACAGACTCAGCATGGAGACTGAAGTCCCCCAGGACCAACATCCTGGAGGTCTTCAACACCAGGTCTGAGATGATCACCGTCAGCTTAGGCAGGGAGTCTGATGGGCAGAAGGGTGCACAGTACACCAGCAGAATCTCCAATCTGTCTTGGTCGCACTCTAGACCCAGTCTCGAGAGAACAGGAAGCCCCATAAGGGAAATTGAGGCTCGATAGATTAAAGCGACCCCCCCCCCCGTGCGTGCCTGGTGCTGGACCAGATACCTGGGCGGACACAGTTGAGGGACACCCCACCCCCTCCCCATTTAGAGACATAACACTGATTTTCCTAAGATTGCACCCTCAGTGGTTTTGCTTAGTTTTAACAAATATTTTGATGCAATGCCAGTGTGAAACAGCTTTTATTTTAACTTATTTAGCTTTAAATTGATGGTCTGACCCTGTGAGACTAGGTTTGCCTTTAGTTCCAAATAGAATATGCAACTTTTGCTTGCATAGGTTGCAACAAGTAAAAAACATTAATTTGGAAATAAATTATTCATGTTCAATAACAAAGTTATTCAAATCAAGTAAATATGGGTAGAATTGGAACTGTGTATGTCATGCTGGGCAGATTTTGATTGTAATAAAATTTTGCTCTCCAAATTATGTAACAATATCACAGCACCAAAATGATTCATACTACCTCTTTTATACTGCTGAAATGAAGCAAGCTTGGGGTAATCAGAAGTGGATTGTATGTAGAAAGCTGCTACACTCCTATGAGACTAGGTTGCTTCCTGTCTAATTTTTATTAGTAGGAAGTTTAGGAGAGCAGGCACGGTTGCAATCAACTTGCTTTTCAAATAGTACTTGAAAAACACATGCACAAATATTGCCAAGGCATATCTCACTAAACCATGTGCTTTACAGCTGCTGCTTAGTGCAAATTTTGATTTTTTTTTTTTTTGCACAAAAAAACACTTGGGAAACAGGATTGCTATTAAAACTTTTTTTTTTTTTTTTTTGGGTGCGTGTTTCCGTAGATTCCATCTGAGTTTAAAGATTGCAAAACACATTCTAACTTGCATGTGGAAGCCTACAAGGTAACTTCTTGGTTGATGTCACACTGAGTAAATTTGCTGGATTTCTACCTTCTAAATGAATTTCTCACATATCCTTAGTTCACAGAAATATTATCTCAGGCATATTTCTGAAGCTACATAAAGTAACTCCAGAGTGTGGTTCAGGCTGCTTACCAACTAGTTTGGTATACCTCAAAGCAAAAGGAACTGAAACTTGAAATGACTTTGTGACTTCAGGGTTTCCCAAAATCGTCCCACAAGCTGATTTCACAGGTGATTACCCATTTGACTGGTGGTAAAAGCTTTTGTCCTAAGATCTAGCACTGTTGCTGACTAGGTATTCTGCTACCTAATGCACTGGACTCCATCCCTATTTGAAAAACAAACCAACAACCACCACCAATAGTGCAACACAACTATTTTAGCTAAAGTATTATTGTCATACTTCTTAAAATCTATTCTGAGTTTAAGCAGAGATTTCTAAAGATGTAATGAGGTAAAAAGAAAAATACTGCAGAAGCCACTTTCTTTACTTTCTCAAGAGTGATATAATAGGCAGTTTAATTTTATGGAAAGGTCAAAAGCCAAGTAAAAAGAAATTTCCACAATGATAAACTGTAAAAAATGTTGATGTATGCTTTATTCAAGTAATACCAGATTTACTGTGAATGCTTAATTTGTCCTCAGAGAAAGTTGCTTTCATGTTTCTACTGCTAAATCAAATATATACATTTCAGAACTATATATGCTTATCAATGCTAGGATACTTTTCTGTTACTGGAATGATCTAATTTTATGATAGTGCTCTTAAAAAAGCTCAGTAAATATTTATCAATGACATCTCTACTGCTTTCCAAACACCAACAGAACAGTTCATAACGTAAGGTGAATACCATCAGTAGATAACTATAGGCAGGCACTGATCAGCATTTTAAGAATTCAAGCTTGTTCACTAAAGTATGTAAAACATTAGACGAAATTATTAAATACAACAGAAATAAACATTAATACTCTGCAAGTTTCATTCTCTCTCCAGTTTTTCTGAATGATTAACTATTTCTTCAGAACTTCACCTTTGCATCTCTCAGAAGGCAGAAATAGAGTAAGTATCAAACACATCATTTCCCTATTTGTCTGAGATTAGTAGCATCACCTGCTGCAACAGCAATCTCTGGTAGCTTTTTGGAAAAAAAAACCTAAACCAATTTCTTTTCTTTTTTTTTTGGTTGCATACCCAAGGTAACTGCAAGGTAACTTGTGACTGAGCTATATAGAAGCAATCCTGGCCTACCTTGCCATAAGGAACTCTCTTAACTACTGTTACCATCATCATAAAATCTCAGGTGAAAAATCTCATGGAAGTGTACCCTTGGGACTCCTCAGTTTAGAAAAAAAGTCAAGGCAGAGTATGGCACAAGTTTTTAAAATTATGGGTAGAGTGAACTTAACGTTTCTCATAATACCAGAACACAGGATCATGCAACAGAAATGAATGGTAGGTGATTCAAAGAAGGCAGAGTGCCATTACAGTGCACACAGAAATGAAGCTCAGTGCCATAGCAGTGTTGACCAAAAATTCTGATAGCTTTAAAAAAGGATTCAGCAAATTCATTTAGTATAAAGCCTCATGATGGCTCTTTCACCTCTAGTATTACCTCTGAATACTAGACGCTAGCATTATGACCAGCAGAACGCTGTTCTGCAGATCCTGCATAGGAAGTATTTGACAGGCCATGGTGGGAAAAGAATGGACTGGATAGGCTCTTGACCAACATAGCCCTTTTTATGTTCAGCTGGAAAGAAAAACAGATTCATACAAAAACATACATCCAGGGGATTTGCTAGGTAATCAGAAGCTTCCAATTAGGCATCTGGATGAGAATTACAGGCCAGGCCTTGTCCCCTTCACTTCCCAATGATGCCAAGATGGATTTTCTTGCAATTATAGGCTGTGAGGAAGCACTTAGTCAGCTTACACATTGCGTGCATACTATAGCATGCCAATATTGGGACAAAAAAGGTTGCAAACTCTGGTCAACTGTGAAATTTCACCTCTAAACTGGTATGCCACTTTTCAACTGGTACGCCACTTTTCAACTGGTACATCACAATTTTCTTTTCTCTTTCTAGGAGTTCAAGTGCCACCACCATTGCCGAACTTCTGGAAGCCGAGATATTTGCAGGGTATTCTGATAGGTTTTTAAAATGAAATACTTTTCCTGTGAGTAGTAACAGCAAAAATAGAACGTATTTTTCCCCTGCCCCTATAGCAAAACTGAATGCTACTCATGCACTATGTTCCAGATACAGAAGGTAGCAGCAAAGGGAGGTATTGATGTTTTTTTCTAGCTTAGAACTTTATATGAACAATTAGCTTTGAATGGTTAATGCAAGTAATGAAATACCAGGCATCCGTATGAAACCAAGTGCTGAATTTAAACTGGGAAACAAATGTTGGGGACCAAACTAGAGACTGATGTGGTAATTTGTATGAAAGATTTCTGGCTAGAAATCCAAACCAACCTGAAACTTTCGTCTATCTGCTAATGTTAAACAAACGGACTTCAAATGCAGGGCTTTCTAAAACTTTGTCTCAGTGCTGTTTAGCACCACCTATTGAACTAAGTGCATTGGCAGGGGATGCTGGGGTCTTAATTTGCTATTTTTTAAAATATCTACAGAGTGACCTTTTCTGCATCCAGCACTGACAAAGGAATTAAATGTCTTCCTAATATTTAATTCTAATGTGAATTACTAACATGAATTGAACATGCTTACATATTCATACATACATCAGGATATGTCTGTTGTTGTAAAATTCAAAGTACTTCAAGTCACCTCTATGAATATAGAGGTAATTTCCCAAAATATTCCATATTCCAAAAATTATTCAGACAGTTGTAATTTAAATCACAAATAAATACACACTTTCTTTGATTAGCATGCTTTATTTACATATTTCTACAGAATTGTATCTTCATAGAACAAACCAGGGTATCTTAATCCAAACCAAATAACTCATAATTTTCCCTTAGCCATTCTAGATTATCATTTGCCAAGTTTAAAAACTTTTTAGATACAATACTTAGGAATACAAAGCACAAGAATAACTAACTTTAACGTAGCATCTAGCAAATTTGATTTTCACAATTTTAAACAGACTTTCAAGAAGTCAGAGGCACAGTTACAAGAGACTATTTGTTCTTGTGAAATCTATGCTACATTTAGCAAAAAAGAGAAGATATCTGAGAAAACAATACAGGATTTGCAGCGCTTTGCAAAATTTATCCAAAGTATTTCTATAGCAAAAACATTTTGCTTTGTCTCTGATCTGTCCAAAGAAATGGAATATGCTAGATGTTTATTAAAGAAAAGAAATAAAGACAACTTCTCCGTTTGTCACTGTACATTTTTCTTTACAGGGCAGATGTTTCAGGATACAAGTAACTGAAAACATACTGCTTCGTTCCTAGATTAATCTCCCTTAGCATACTTACCTTGGGATGTCACTGAAGACGGCACATATTTCTCTCAAGCAAACGGAGCTTAAGAATGGTCAGTATTTAACAAATATTTGCTAGTTAGACAAATTTCATGAAGCATTTTAAGCCATAAAATGACATTTACATCAGTTTCAAAAGATTATTTGCAATGATTTGTGGTATTAGTTTTTTTTAGAATTGTCATGCTATTTTTGCAAGTTTTACCAGTCAGTTAAATTTTGTTTATTGGCTCATAGAAAATGATTTCAATAGGACATCCTCATTACTTCATAGGTGATTTCAAAAACCCCAAATGGCCTGGGTCTTAATATTTCATGTTACATAGCTTGGTAGCTACACACTAGTGAAATCCCAAGCTTCCACAAGTGCAACTGGGGGTGGGGAAGAGAAAGGAGAAGAAGGTGTACAATTTTCATTTCTGCTTGTATCACACTGAGCAACTCAGTAGTATACTACAGGATAAACATTTGTGGAAGGGGAGCACAAGCATCAGACACAGATTTGTTGCAAACAGATTTGTTGTTGTGAGCATGAAATCCTACATATATTATTTTGAAACCTGAATTTTGCACTTTGTTTGCAGCAGTACCACAGCTATTAATTAGTTAGGATGTGAGTATCAAGAGCCAAACACCTAGGGAATTTAAACTACTGGGAAGTTACACTCCACCAGGGAATATTCATAGATGCAACAACACTCCATGGAAAAGTGAAGAACATTGTTCTGACAAATATTCAAGAAGCAATGTAAAATAGCTTACGTATCCACTGAAAGCCACAAAGATCTGTTTCTCACTTGGATGAAAAGTGAGATTTCTCATTAGAAATCTCATCATGGAGCAGTGGAAAATGACTACACCTCTGATATATTCCTTGCCTTTCAACTAAGACATACTACAACTGCAGTACTTCTGTGCTGTTCTAGTAGGGATGAGTGGAAAAAAGTGAACCAGACCAGTTTAAGAATCAGATACTCAGTCCCAGACAGTTCTAAAACAAGTAGATGTAAAGACTAAATGACAAACCAGGATGATACTATAACATATAAAGTTCTCACACAAGAATTCACAGATGAGAACCTTCCAAAATGAAAAACCCATGAAAAAAGAGGGAAGGCAGAACATTTTGAAATTAAAACAAAGTCATATTACTCACCTTCTGGGTCAATTTATGGCTTAAAATAGTTCATTACATTGTTTCATGAATTAAAATAGCTGCAGTTTTCCATTAAACATGCACCTATACTAGCAGGATTTAGCACTTCTGACCAAGAAAGACACCAACTTCTTTAAAATGTCTCATGCACTGGACTATATCTTTGTGAATTTTGAGTTTTAATATATTATTTCTTTTTAGAACTTGTACGGGATCCAGAATGAGAAGATCCAGATGATGACCTGCGGTGTCTGTAAGATAAAAAAATAGGAGAAGCATGCAAACAAGTAAGTTTTAATTGTTATGACTGCTATGAGGTGGGGGGAAGGGAGAATAAAAGAGATGGGGCAGGATATGAACTCTGAAAATAATTACTGGATTTCATCTCTGTGTCATAACTGTATAAAACAGTTCACATAATATAGAACTTTAGTTAAGAACACTTTTATTTCTTAAATTCTAAAACTGTAGCATAAGAGTTTCAGAACTTAAAGAGAACCATTTTTATGATGAAACTATTTGTGATAAACAGAAGAATTAAGAATGATAACTAAAAGTTTATGAATGTATGTTTTAGAAGACTGTGCTAGGCAGGATCAAATCTACAAAACTAAGAACAGCTATGTTCAAGCACACACAATGCTTTAGCCATTCAACTCATTTCCTAAGCTGCTTCAGTCAACATTTAAAGAACAACCATTTTTATCTACAAAACCCAAACCTTTCAGGTGACCGTGATCTCATTCGCCCTTTTTTGCGATCACCAGATGAAGATCTAGATCGGCTCCTCTTTCTGCTTCTCTCAGGGGAGGATGATGAATGAGAGCTTGAGTAAGATCTTTTTCTTGGGGTTGAAGAACCCCTGACAGACCTGGAGCTGGATCTTTATTAAGAAATAAGTAAGACTTAATCCTAGGGCAAATACTCAGAGCGTAACAATCTATAATACATATCACATCCAAGAACTCTCTAGTAACAGACCCATGATATGGAATCAGACTAATGTATAAATACTTCAGTGTTAAGAAGAATTCAGCAGCTTTAGTGTTTAGTGTTGGACTGTAGCCAAATCAATGTACTGATTTCCATGTAATATAGAAGACCTTATGGTTGCTTAAGATAATTGTTGCTTCTTAGCAACAACAAGGTACAGAAGGCTCAAGTCAGAGATAAATGTAATTCACTTTCTTATTAATAAATATGGTGGGGAATTAGTTTCAAAATTGTTATGTACTGTATGCCTTGTAAACAGTCGCTGAACACAGGTAACTGGTAAAGGCATAAGAAAATCTGAAGACAATGATAATTTCATATTCAAAAGATATCAGCAGAGAGCAACACATGTGAACATGAGAATTGATGCAAATTTCCTCTGGGTAAGAACCAAGGAGAAACACTCCATTTATCACAATAAAGATCTGGAAATTCTTTTACCACATGTATATGGCTAAAAGCAGGTAAGCAAAACCAGCATTTCAAATGCACTCATCTATAAGAGTATCAACTTTTCAGAGCAAAACACAACAGGAAAAAGGCTATTACCTTAATTTTCTGGTTGGCTGCTATCGGAAACCAAATAATAGGTAGACCTTTGTCTGATCCAACTAGACAATTGTTAGTGTTCATAACAGTGCACAGTCCCTTCCCTCTTTTCAAAAAGGTAAGTCAACACATAGCTTCAGTGTCTCAATCATGTGCAGAATTGGGGCTTTGGCTCAACTCTTCATTTTTACAGAATGGTAAAAAAAAGAAGAATTTTGTGTTTTTTGAGTTATAAGAATAAATTATATTAACACAAAACAAAAATAGAAAAACTGAGTCAAAGCAGTAAGTACCATGCCTGTAAACGGAAACAACTATTATTTTGCTACCAGAGGCCCAGGAGCCTTTACGCCAAACTGGATTTCTGTAGAATCATACCAGTGTGCTTTTAAAGCAACTGACTTCAGTGTCAATAAAAACAAAACGTTGCTGCCAGACAAATACAGTGGCACCTTGGCTCACAAACTTAATCCGTTCCACAACTCTGGTCGCGACCCAAATTTCGTGAGCCAAGTCAAATTTCCCCATAAGGTTCAGTGTAAGTAAGGTTAATCTGTTCTGTAACCATTTTTTTAATCACAAAAATTTGAAACAAAGTGACAAAGAACAACAAAGATTGTGGCCATCTCTCCCCCCGCCCCAGCATGACCGCAATTGTGCCCATCTTCCCTGCATGAGCACGACTGCGATTGCAACCATCTCCCCTGCAAGCATGACTGTGATCGTGTCCGTCTTCCCTGCACGGGCGCGACTGCGGCCATACATGGGCTGATCATGCAGGGAAGATGGGCACCATCGCGATTGCCACCTGATGTGGAGTTTGTGACCTGCGGCAAAATTTTTATGAAATTTGTTCGTGACCCGATTTGGTCGTGAACTGAGGTGTTTGTGAGCCGAGGTACCACTGTATATGCTTCTGTCTACCTGCCCTGACTTTATTTAGCAAGTTTAAGTCTTTTTACTGGTAACCCTCACAAATACTGAAGTTTTACAAAATCCAAAAGTCAGTGTCATTGAGTGCAAAGGCCTTAACTGTGGTTAAAAAGGTAAAGGTAAAGGTTTCCCCTTGACATTAAAGTCCAGTCATGTCTGACTCTAGGGGACGGTGCTCATCTCCGTTTCCTAGCCCAGGGAGCCAGCATTTGTCCGGAGACAGTCTCCATGGTCATGTGGCCGGCATGACTAAACACTGAGGTGCATGGAACGCTGTTACCTTCCCCACTGAAGTGGTGCCTATTCATCTACTTGCATTTGCATGCTTTCGAACTGCAAGGTTGGCAGGAGCTGGGACAGCACAATGGGAACTCACCCTGTTGTGCAGAATTGAACCGGCAACCTTTCAATCAACCAGCCCAGCAGCACAGCAGTTTAAACCACTGCGCCACCTGCATCCCTAACTGAGGTTAGGGGGCTATGATTATGCCCTAGTAACTTAACAGTCATTTTGTCACTTGCAGATGTTACACTAAAATGCAAAGGATCGCTGTGATACTGTGTGCTCCATACAATTTATTTACAGCATTTTTACATTGCTCCAGTCAAAAAACGGCTCCAAAAGATTACTATTCAAAACTCAACAAAGTTCCAAGTATGGAAAGTAAGTTAGGTATGAAGTAAAGGTGTATAGAAAACAATAGCAGATTTAGAGGCACTACTTTCCGCTGTTCTTATGTCATGTGGTAGATGCCTGTTTCAGTATATGCACGTGGACACACACTTAAGGGCAACATACCAGGAGAGACTTCTACAGAGCAGAGTGGGCAGGTTCTCTGTTTAATACCTACTCTTTTTTATTATTTTGGGAGAATTTATGCACATGCACAATACTGAACAATACAGCATAATGTGCATTATTCTTGTTCTGTTTTGCAAGTAAAGAAAAAAAAAAGCAGGAGTACTATGGAACTGACTACTTCAACAGTGAACATCCCAGTTCAAACATCAATATGTCAGCCATGGGGGGGTTGCATATCACAGAAGATACCCTCTCAATGTAACAACTTTTACATTAATGGACAATTTTTACATCACAATAATTTTATTTAATAACAGTTAATTTTATTTCATGTTATTTGTTACTATTTATAATAAAATATTAATTTCTGGTGGCCTTTCAGACTCTCTCTGACAAGCAGAGAGGTTGCTACCTCATTCACCTTGATTTCGACCCACGAGATCTAGAACGTTCTCTGGAAGTGGAATGAGATCTTGATCTTGAACTGGAAGAGCTTCTTGACCTGAAACAACATGAAGAAATTTTTGGAGGCAAGAATAGAAAGGCAAGAATCAAATTTTAAAAAAATATGTAATTTGTATTTGACATTAAATAATTTTATCTAATTTACTACTGCACAGAAAATATAGTTGACTACTTCACAGAATCGATGGTGAAGCTTCAAAACATTTGCTGTCTTGGTACATAAGAACAGCAACTGCTAGACTATTTTATTTGTTGTTGTTATAATTAGAATATTTGGGCTCCCTAGCATGTCACAAGCTGGTTCTGAAACATCTTCAAATCCAAAAGTAGGTTTTCATGTAATATGAGAAATAATAATTAGAAAAAGCTCTTTTGGACTTAAAGAATTTGGGGCAAAAATGTTTAAAATCTGGCCACCAGTGTTTTTCAATTATAAATTATGTCTGTCTTGCATATTACTTATCTTGATGCTATTAATCTTTTAAAGCAAGTGTATTAAGTTACATACATAAAAATATAAACAATGCATTTTGAACTTTTAAGTTAGCAAGAACTATACAGTTCAAAAGTGAAGAACAGAGAACTCACATAAAATATACCAGCTTCAGATGTTATTTTTTGTGTTTCAAACAAGTGCCAGTTTTAGACATACCAATGAAGACTTGCCAACAATTCTAAAACCCCCTTTTTTAAACAAATGGTTTTTGTTCCTTAATAAAGACTTAGCATCCTATACATACCAACTCAGAAGGCAATGTAACCAATGAATTCAATGGGCCTTATTCCCATGTATTTATAGGACTGTAGTACCAGTGTTTTTCTAGACAACAAAAAGAGGCCATTGCTTAAATGTTATTAATTGTAGCTTAGGATTCAGTTTAACGGTAATTAACTTTTCTCCTGGTCCTCAGAACTTACTGTCACAATTTATAGATTTATGTTTCAGAAAAAAATATTTTGAAAAATTGGTGATTAAAGGTAACAAGGTGGAAGTCAATGCTGCCCATCCACTAGTGGAGTCAGCTGCTGATTCTTGTCCACATGTCCCACCTGTTCTGTTTTGCAAGTGGTTCTCATCACTTGCAGAACAATGACTTAGTGCTTCTGGGGACAAATCTTCAAACCAGCAGAAGTGCTCTCCTCTGGCAGAGGGCAGACTGGCATAGCTCCCTTATGCAAGTGTTGATGCTTCCCTTGATGCTTAGTTTGGGTTGCTTCAGACACACTAACTCACCATTCTACAAGCAGATTGAGTGGAACTGTCAGGCTGGCCACATGCACAGAGACAGTGTTGGACTGTGCTCATAAAACTATTTTACTGTATTTCAAGGACAGCAATATCAAAAAATATAGTATAATAAGATTCCTTTTTCATTACCATAATTTCTGTTACCCTAGATTTCTCAATCACATTTCTATTATGTCAGATCTTTTCCATTTTTCAATTTCAACAGCCGCAGTGTGTGGTCACAGATTAGAAGGGCACAGAATCCTGTTGAATCAACTTTCTTTTCTAGGATGTAGCAGAATTGTGGAAGAAGTGAAGCACACAGAAGCTACATATGGAGGCTTCTGAATTCTACACAGTGTTTCCCTATTTTTTTTAAGTGTCCCTTTAACATGCTTCCACACTGATGAAGATGATCCCAGAATGTCAACTACACTTAGGAAACATTTATATTTTGCAGGGAATTATTTGTTGTTAACTAAGTTATTGGAGAATAAATGTTTATGTATTAGGAAATATTTAATTTTGGATCCAAAATGGCATTTATGGGTTTAGCACCAAAAAGTGCAACTATGAAGTTCAAAATTAACTGAACAACTTTTCTCCAAAACTTCCATTGATAAATGAATCTATTTTAATAAGATAACTCTTATTTTGAATGGGTTGGTATAATATTGGTTTCCACTGGCAGAAAGGGAAGTACAACACATTACAATAGATTCACAATTTCTTATTTCTGTATGCCCCTGAAAATCTCCTCTGGAGGAATGGGGGACCCTTTGGAACAGTGCAGGAGGTGGTAGCAGTGTGGTGGGAATCGATAAGTAAAAACTATTTTTCCCATCCTTTACTGTTACAGGAACATCTGCTGAGTAAGTCCCTTCATGAATGGATAAAGCTCTTCTGCTCATGGAAGAAAATGTTGGGATCTGCCACAGTATGTAGAATTCTGTTTTCTTCCAACAGTATTCTTTTATGTACTAGGTGATGGCTAGGCAAGATGAACACAGATACATGAAGAACATAGAAAGCTAAAACAAATGAACCCTTTATTAACTGAAGCGCCAACTACTATCCAATTCACTTTTGCTTTAAAGGCCGGTATAGATCATAAACAGTCATGTTCACCAGTTTTCATATCACAGTCCCCACATATAATACACAATGGAAACTGGTGCAAAGTGGAGGAGATATTAGGACCAGTGATACAAAAAGTAAAGCAAAAAATAAATGACATAAAAAGATTAGGTGCATCAAGAACTGGAGCACAAGTGATTTTCTGCGCATAGAAACTTTGTGTTTAGGAATAGAAACTACAATTTCTATTGTATTCTACAATTTCTCCTCCCTTTTCCAGGTTCCAGCCCCTTCCAAAGAAAAGTTATGGGATTTTCTTTAGCAGAATGAGCAAGCCTTCCAGTGCTTATTTCATTTTCATGAATCCACTGACAAAGATGCATTCTACAGCACTTAATATCATAAAGACCTTAACGTAATTAAGACCTACAAATTGTTTGGCTTTTAAATCCAGAGCCAAACATTTCATTACATTGCCATTAAAGTAACACATATTCTAAATGGTATAGTGATCACCTGAATTTGTCAGTTTGTAATTACCTGTGCAGACTAGATTATGTAAAATTGATTAGATTTAATGCAAAACTGCAAAAAATAAAAAAATAAAAAATCAATCACAAAAGAGATGTAAATAAAGTTAGATACTGACATTTTGTCTGGCGTTACCCTTGACCTGTACCCGTTTACCTGGACCTAGACCTTGAGCTTGAGTGGGAGGATGAGCGAGATGAAGATCGTGAATGAGAAGATCGAGACTTGGAACGGCTGCGGCTAGTTGTAGCTTTCTTCTTCTTGGCAGAATCTTCTTCCTCACTAGCATCAAGATTATATTTAGAGAGATCAGCATCATCTTCATCTTCTTCCTGAAAATAATTATGTTATCAGGTAGATTCCATAAAAGTACTATTCCAACTATACATTCATTTTAGCTGTTTGGCTGGTGGCCCAGCTACACCCCTATCTAGATGGTGACAGCATAGTTTTAGTAATCTACGCTCTGGTAATCTCTAAATTAGATTACTGCAATGCACTCTACATGGGCTAGCCCTTGAAGACTGTTCAGAAGCTACAGCTAGTGCAAAATATGGCAACCAAACTAATAACCAGGACTAGAAGTTCTGAACATCTAACTCCAACTCTGGCCCACTTGCATTGGCAAGTGAGATCCAGCAAAATTCAAGGTGCTGGTTTTAACCTATAAAGCATACATAGCCTGGGACCACAATCCCTGAGGGAACAGCTCTCCTGACTTCAATCTACCCAGACCCTACTATCTGCATCTGGGGCCTTCCTTTGCTTGCCAACTGCATGGGAGGCCCGGGAAGAAGAAACGAGGAGGAAGATTTTCTCAGTGGTGGTCCCCAATTATGGAATCTACCCAGTGAGGCTCACCTGGAACAAACACTGTCAGCTTTTTGGCATCAAAACCTCTATACTACATGTCATTGGTTCCAACTTGGACCACAACTACTGATCCCACTCCAGCACTCTCTATGTAGATGGCATGTGCTATCTGCAACTTTCAAACCTGGGAGGAAATTATATGTAGTCTACACACCCATCACAAACCTGCCTGTCTCATGATTAGATCTTCTCCATGACAATCTGAAGGAACATCCTTGGCACAAGAGTATATCTGCTTATCTTCAAGGGATCATTACCTTCTTTCTCAGAATGGAACATTCTCTCCCCAATACCCGCATTCTCTGGGGCAGCAAAGGAGCCATCACCCATGGATTGAGAAACTGCTATCACGCCTCTTTAAAATCTTGTTCACTGACCTTTCTTAGCTTTTCCAATTTGCATGTAAAGGGTTACCCTTATGGGATTTAGTTTTCTTTGCTGTGCTCGCTTTTCTTATGCTTCACCTGATGATTCTACTTTTAAATTATATCCTGATGTAACTTAATAGTTGAATAAATGAACAGCACTTACCTTTTCTTTACCTGGGTGCTTAACTCACTTGTGCGCTGACATTTCATTACACTTGTGTATTGTCAAGGTGAGTCCAAGGGAGGTTGTTTAAGGTGAATTTCTCTATTATACAGTCTCCCAAACCCGTTCTTTTATTACTACTCCACCATCGATCATTCCTATTTGGCATGCATCAACTTACCAAATCTATTTTTTAATCATATCAATCTAAGTCTATCCGGTATTCTGGGAGGCAGGGGTGAAGGATACTAACCAAGCTACTTTTCCCTTCTATAATGTATAAAAATAAAAGTTATGCTTCTGAAATATAAAATGGTATTTGGGATGATTTCCCCAGTTTTTAAAGATTATAGTGCACCAAACCAAACTCACCACTTGTGAGTGCACCAAACATTTGTCAAATAACATCCTGATATCAGTATTTCATACCCTGGCAAACTTCTGGTTAAATTATTGAAATGCACTGTATGTGCGATTACCCTTGGAAACCAGTTAGTATAAAATATGGCTCATGGCTAGGGCACTGACTAGGTTTCATAAGTGTTGTATCATCTTTACCAACTCCTGGTTTGTTTCTGGGCACAATTCCAAGATGTTGGTACTAACTCATATAGCCCTTCAGCACTTTGAGCTATAGTAGCTGTAGGACTCCCTCTCCCCATACTTGCCTGCCAGAGCCCTAAGATCATCATCTGAGGAAGTGGTCTGAATGTCCCACAATTGGCAAATTGACAGGTGGAAACTCTTGAATGGGCCTTTTCTGTGGTGGCTTCCAAACTGTGGAATGCACCTGAAATTTACCCTATTGGATTTGTGATGCTAGATAGATTTTTTTGATTCTTGCAGGCCTTTAATTTGATTTTGAGCTGGTGTTGGTTTTAATTTGCTTTATGCTTAATGCTTAAACTTTTTTTGGGGGGGGGGGAGTTAATTGATGTAACTAATTCTGTTTTTGTGTTTATGTATGTTGTCCTAAGGCTTTGGTTAGCAGGTGATTCATAAATGGAATAAAGAAATTATAGGCCCTATTTGAGGAAAGGTGGAAAGGTGACATGTCTGGCAGCACCCTGCGGTGAGTCATACCTTATCTCATTTGGACACTTTGGACAATAGTCTTTGAGAGAGTATAAATAGTCCAAATGACAGGTAAGCTTGAAGACTTCCAGTCTATACCTCTGATTACAATGAGATGGCCAGATGAGGCAAACTGAAATACGTTACAGAGTTGACCCGCCATATTTTTTCTAAGTGTTTTCTTTCTCTCTTTCCTTTTTTTCCACTCGCTTTTATTTTTTGAGTTAAGGGTTATTAAATATTTGAATTATTTAAAAACAAGAAATTACAGACCCTGTTCAACTCACATTGGTGGGACTTTGGTGTATACACATGTAACATATATGTGGGTGAACAAAGGTGTCTGGCCAAAAACTCTTACAATATAGTAGCTGTAGAAGAAGAAAATACGGAGTAAGGATTATTTTACCTCATCCAATTTATACTTAGACAGATCTCCATCCTCATCCTCCTCTTCTTCCCCTTCAGATTCCTTATCTTCAACTTCCTTTAAGATAGATGCAGGACCAACAGGCTTCCCTCTGTATTTTTTCTTTTTGCGGCCAAACTAAACAAGGAGGTATTGTATTCCGTAAGAGTGTAAAGTGTTAGAGGTCTGTGTTATGCATACAGAGCAAATACAGAAATGATTTAACTAAATACCCTTGTGTTAAGTTTGTTGTAGTCTTTTCCCATTACTATTTTAGAAAATGGAATGACCACACAATATTTTATTCAGTGCTACATTCAAAGACACATTATATAAATCAGTATGTATTACATTAATGTAAAGAATTATCAATCTAGATTAAGATGCAAAGCTGTGGTATACATAAGTACTTGAGCTTTGTTCATTATTTCTGCAGCAGTAACTCTCATGGTTGCAAGACTAGCTACTACTGAGTTTGAAATGTAGTTCTCTTTGGTACTACATACCCCTGCAAGTGAAAATAAACAGATTGTAAAGTAGCAGTTCACCTTTACATGTACATAAGTGATTGCTGCATATTGGCTCAAGGTGTAATGAAGGAAGTTCTTGGAAATTCAAGATGCGTCGGAATGAGACGGCTGTGATTAACGGAGCTTCTGTTATCACGCCGGTATTGCTCAGCAATGAGTCATCGGAGACTCATCTAAGCCCTGTCGGGGCGAAGACAGAATGCCTGATATTCTTTTGGTTGGTGTGGGATGGCAATCCCATATCCACTGGGAGAAATACAGGCATTTCTCAACCGGGCAACATAGGGGTTTTTTTTTTTTTTAGCCCCTGCAAGTTCTCGACATCTGATGAATTAATTAGCTTATTTTAGCCAGATAAAATATTGGACGGCTGGTAAGCATTCTTATTTCTTATTGCAATACTACCCGTGGAAAAGATGCATTTGTTTATAATTGGCTTCAGAAAAAAGAAAAAGCCCTCCCGAAGTCTTTAAGCGGCGACTGAAAGGGGGAGAAAGGAAAACTTTTATCCGAGTTGAAGCCGAAGAAAAAGATTTTTCTTCTAATCTAAGGGTGAAAAATTAAGATAAATAACTACTGTGGAATTAAATGATAGGACGGTAAAACGTAGAGCGATCATTTTGGATAATTGCTTGAACTTCTGCCAAGACTAACTGGACATCTGCCAGGATAATTTTTGTGTTGTGTAGAGTTTTTCTCTCTGCTGTGATGACTTTCTGGTGAGCATTTTTACTTTCTTTTTGCAATATTACTTGTGGAAAAACTGTATCTGTTGTTATTTGGCATAAAGGAGGAGGAAAAGCCCCCTTTGAAGAAGTAAAATAACATCTATTGGGGAATTAAGCTGGAGGCCATTTCTGGCTAGCTTCCATTCTTTCTGGGACTTCTGCCAGAAGACACTGATGACATTGTTTCCTTTTTAACAAAATAGCCTTTTGCTGCCACCGGGTGGCTACTGTAATTATTGCCATTCCCATTTTTTTTCTTCTTTTTTTACTGATTTATTCAATTTATATTTTTTCTCCCCTCCCCCCCCTTTTTTGGTATATTGAAACTTCTTTGGTGAACAACTTTCATTATGAGGAAAACTCAGCCCTCTTCAGCACCCTCCTCAGTTGGTCAAAGTCCAATTCATCAGCCTAAGACAGAACATGTTGCAAAAAGTTTGAGAGAGTTGCAAACGACGATTTTGGCGATACAGGCAGCTTTAACAACTGTGTCAACACGGCTGGAAAGCTTATCAAATGAGCAAAAAGAATGACTTGATAAATTGGATAATTCTATTAAAGAGGTGACAACTCAATTATCTGATGTTCAATTTAAAGTGGAACAGAATACACAAAAAATGCAACAAGTATGTGAAAAATTGGAGACAGTAGATAAAGAAATATATTTAATTAAACAAACAAATAAGTCAACATGGGACTCAATGGCTGCATTAGAGATGGAGAAGGCATCTTACTATCTAAGATTTCAGAATATACATGAAGAGAAAAATAAAGACCTATGAGAGCTTATAACTGACATGTTGGTGGAGCTTTTAGAAATCAAAAATGAGGTCATGAGTATGGGAATTGACCTTGTTTTTAGGGTCAACTCCACATATACCAGAAAAAATAAACTTCTGAGAGAAGTTCATTTCAAATTTGCTCTAAGGTCCATAAGAGACAATGTTTTGAAGGTCATATGGGAGAAGCTGTTAAAGAGAGATGATTGTCAGGAGGTGACGGTTCTGAAACAGATACCATGGAGGATTAGGGGGGGACGAAAGAAGTATCTATTCCTTACTACCAAACTGATCAAGAAAAAGATTATCTTTAGGTGGCTAATACCAGAAGGAATGTTTTTTACATGGAACTCTGTAAGATATAAATTGGATTCAATTTTTAAAGCACAAGAGTTCTATGAGGAATTCAAAGCCATACTGGAAGAGGAGGATCCTGTCGTCTCTAAAGAAGGAGAAAAAGGTGCTGAAGCAATGGAAACAGCATACCATTCTGAAGAAGGAGAAATACTGAGGGTTGATTCACAACAAGAAGTACAAACTTTGGACTCAAAGGAAAAAAAAGGTAGAACTGTAAAGGCAAAGAATAAGTAGATAATTTTATTAAATATGGCTCTTAAAAAAGAAGGGAAAATTGAATTGTTCTCCTTAAATGTTAATGGACTAAATGGACCATCTAAAAGAAGAAGGATTTTTGCTCAACTTCAAAAACAAAAGTTAGATATAATCTGTCTACAGGAAACACATATTAAGAAACAATGTGTTAAACTTCTGGAATGTTTAAACTGGGAAAATTGTTCGTATTTTCTGCATCGCAAAAGAAAAGAGGTTTAGCACTATATGTTGAAGAAAAATTCAACTCTAAATATATTCTTGCTGATGAGGATGGTAGGATCTTGATGGTAGAAATTACAATTAAACTTAAAAAGGTGCTCTTAGTGGCAATATACGCACCAAATGACCATCAGGAAACTCTTTACCAAAAATTACATACGTTACTTTTACAAGTGGACTACCAGACTGTGTGTGTAATGGGTGATTTTAATGCAATTGTGGATAAGGGAATCAATTACAAGAGTGAAAGTAAAGGAAAAAAGGGTAGGAGGATGCTTCCAAAGTCTTGTTCCAGCATGATGGAAGAATTCAGATTGATAGATGCCTGGAGGCATAAAAACCCAACTTCTGCCAATTATTCTTTTTACTCAAACAGACATAGGTCATGGTCTAGAATTAATATGGTTTGGATAACTCCAGACTTAGTTCCAGATCTGATAGAAGCTGAAATGGAGACAAATGTCTGGGCAGATCATAACCCTGTATCTATATCACTGAAAGGAGCTATAAGGACACCCAGATGGAGCTTAGATAAAGCATTACTAAAAGATAAAAAATTTAGAGAAGAGATAAGCAAAGAAATGCAAATATTCTTTCAAATAAACAAAGCAGAAGAAACTTCTTTACAGAATGTCTGGGATACAGCTAAAGCCTATGTCAGGGGACTGATAATAACTTACTCAGCAAAAATAAATAAAAAGAAAAAGCAAGAGCGAACAACATTAGTAGAAGAACTGAGGAAATGGGAACAAGAACTGTAGGAGGATCCAACAAAAAGAAAACTTAGGGTCCAAATGAATACTTTAAAGCATAAATTGAATCTGTTGGATACAAATGAAATTACTAAGCAAATGAAGTTGGCCAAACAGATTTTTTTTTGAAAATGCTAATAAACTGGGGAGATGGCTAGCATATAAAGTAAAAAAAAAAAAAAAAAGAGAGAAGAGACTGATTTTGAAACTGAAAGACGGAGAAGGACGACTACAGGTACAAAGTACACAAATCAAGAAAATAGATGAAGACTTTTTCGCAAGGTTATACCGGAAGGAGGAGATTCTGATCGAGAAGGCAAAAGAATACATTCAAAAGGGAGACTTACCAAAACTACCAGAAAAGTATCAAAAATTATTGAATCAAGAAGTAACAACTATGGAAATAACAGAGGCAATTATGCAACAAAAGAACGATAAAACCCCGGGTCCGGATGGGCTACCAGCTGAATTATATAAATCTTTTGAGGGAGTTTTTGCTATATTTTTTAAAGATATATGTAATGAAGCACTGTTAAATGCTAAAATACCAGATACTTGGACAGAGGCAAATACCACATTAATACCGAAAGAAGATACGGACTTAACACAGATTCAAAATTACAGACCTATATCATTACTAAATGTGGATTATAAAATTTTTGCCTCTATACTAGCAGAAAGGTTGAAGAAGTTTTTAATAGACTTTATTTACCCAGACCAAAATGGTTTCCTGCCTAAAAGACAAATGAAGAACAATCTGAGGACTATCTTGGATATCCTAGAATACTATGAGACACACACGGAAAAATCAATGGCTCTGCTGTTTTGGGATGCCCAGAAAGTCTTTGATAATGTTAATTGGCAATTCATGAAGCAACAGATGAATCAAATGGAGTTTGGGGGAAAATTCATGAATGCGATATCAAGTATCTATCAAAGGCAATCGGCCAGGATTTTAATTAATGGAGAACTTACAAGGGCTATAGAGATACAAAAGGGTACAAGGCAAGGATTGTCACCCCTATTGTTCATTCTGACTTTAGAGGTTCTGAATAGAATTGTTAGGGATGACGAGAACATGAAGGGTACTAAAATTAGAGGAAAATTATAAATTGAAAGCATTCACAGATGATTTGGTCTTCATAACAGAGGAACCTTTTGTAACAATCCCTAAACTTTTACAACAGATTGAAGAATATGGTGAGGTTATGGGGATGAAAATAAATAAAGAAAAAATGAAACTTTTAGTTAAACATCTTACGCAAGATCAGAAAAAAAGACTCCAAGAAGAAGTGGACTTGCAGATTGTTAAAAAGGTTAAATACTTGGGAATCTATCTTACAGCTAAATGCACAACTTTGAAAGAAGACAATTATGATAAATTATTGAAGGGTATTAAAGGTGACCTGGAAAAATGGGCCAATTTACAATTGTCTTTGATGGGAAGAATATCAAGCGTCTATTTTAACTTGGATAAAAGAATGGATAACTTTGTGAAATAAGAGAATTTTGTATCTTAAAGGTCATGATTTGCAAATGGGTTGGCATGCTTATATGTGGTACGAGAAGGTTAAGTCTCATGGGACATTTTTAAGTCACTTTATTAGAAGATCATTAATGTCAGTGTGGGAAAAGTTAAAGTCAAAATTGTACAATAAATTACCAAGATGGCTTTCACCAATGGAAGCCTTTGTGTATCCAAATGTATTGAACTTTGAAAGGATCATAAGATATATTTTGGACAAGGATGGAGGCCTGAAACTAGATCAAGAAATACAAGAACAGGGACTCAACATCTCTTGGTGGTATAAGGTGCAGATGCAATCAAGATATGCTAAAGACTGTAAAGCATGGGGGTTTTATAAAGACCCAACAGGCTTTGATCAAGTGATGCTAAAAACAGATGAGAAAATGATCAAAAGAATTTATGAGTTCTTACCTGACAGGAAGATGGAAGGGGAACAGTTTAAGGAAACTATGATAACATGGGCACAAAATTTTGGATATAATATGGAATTAGAAAAGTGGTAAAAGCTATGGGACAGAAACATTAAGGTAACTTTAGCAACTTCGTATAAAGAAAATTTATATAAAATGTTTTGTAGATGGTATTTGTCACCAAGTCGATTAGCTAAGATGTTTCCAAATATGTCAAACAGATGTTGGAAGTGAAAACATGATGTGGGTACTTTTTACCATATGTGGTGGACCCGTGAATGTGTGAAAAAGTATTAAAATACATAAATGGCTTGAGGAAATGCTACAAAAACCCTTAGCTTTTAAACCTGAAATTTTCTTGTTAGGCATTATACTGGAAAATATTAGCAAACAAAAAATGTATTTGATGCTACATTTAATCACAGCGGCGCGGACTGCGCTTGGTCAATACTGGAAGAGTGAGGAATTACCCACTGAGAAATTGATTTTAAAAAAGATTCTGGACTGTGCAGAAATGGATAGATTAACTCTATTACTGAAGGAGAAAGAAGATACTGACTTCTATCAAACTTGGGACCTTTTTTATGATTGGCTGGAGAAATGGGACTTGGCTTAGATTTAAAGATGTTCTTAAACTTTTATAGATTGATCTGAACTTGATTATAGAATGTTAAAAAGATATGTTGTAGGGGGCTGACCCAGTACGTCCGATGTATTTGATGATTGATGTTTTTAGTTTTTTAGTTAAAGATTTTTATTTAAAAAAAATTAATTAAAAAAAAGAAGTTCTTAATAGGCTAACATTTACTTTGCAGAAATTATTCTTGTCATGTTATATATGATTTAGCACATATTTTGGATTAGAGGATTTCACAGTCAATTCTTATTTAGTATTTTAGCACTTTAAAAGAAAATTAAAAATCACACAAGTGGTCTAGAAAATCTCAGATTACAATAGTGACAATTTTTTTATGACAACTTCCTGCTATCTGACCAGATCAAATGAATTAACAAAATAAAAGAAAAAACAGCTGTCACAATGTTGCATGTTGGTTAGTAAGGTAGAGTAGCACTGATGGATACACGTACATAAACTACACAAATATTAAAATGAAGCTTTCTTGAATAATGTTGTCTCTTTTAAGAGACTGTTCAACCTACAAAACTGTGTACGAGGTAATATTCACTACAAAGTTTGATGCAAAGCTTGGGATCTAGCAATCTATAAAGATACTAATGCCAGTTTTCAGGTAAAAGAGCCCAGAGTTCCTACAATTTAATCCCTGCTAAAGCTGCATTAATTAATATTAAAGATAAAAAGCAATATGCTTCTTTAAGCCAAGGAATTTCTCCTTTAATGTAAACATAGAACAATCAATTCAGTTTAACTTCTTTTATGCACCAGGATCATGTTAACAGCTATCCTAAATTTCCCCAGCAGGGTAGACAGTTACTTGTTCATAAGGTGCAGTCAGTCACCTACCTCATCATATTCCCCATCAGACTCTTCACGCTCTATATACTCAACATTTTCTCTTTCATTGAAGCCCCCACCATATCCTGCAAGGAGAATTTTTCAAGCATCTCAACAGATAAACACTAATTGTCTAAATTAACAGAATACTATTTTTTCATGCATTGCCAGGACTAATAGCCAATATATTTGCATGTCAATAAATATTTATGAAGTTTGTGACTTCATAGAGGAAATATATACAGTAACTGTTTAACAGTTTATCAGTTTAACTGGGCAAGTAAAGATATTTGTTACATTTCCTGCTAAAATTAGGGATAAAACTCAGTAGAGTCATGCAGGCAATGGATGGATGAAGAGATCTACATACAGATGGGGTCTGGCTAGGCAACTTTTCAATTCCTGCTTTTCAATCCCTGACAGCTCTACATATTATCCTGAGGGTCAGGGAATCCTATTAAATGATCTATGGCACAGTAGGCGGAGGGGAATGGTGAAGAAGCCCAAGCAGAAAGGCAGAAACAGAGTTGTGTTCAGGTATCTAGTTTTCTCTCACCATATCTAACTATTGTTCAGTGCAGTCAAAGCTATGAGTTTTAGTCAAAGCTATGTATTTTAGTCAACGTTCATATAATACTGCAATAAACTCTGGGTGCAATATCCATTATCCCAGAAGAATTCCGCACTGTGGCAGATCTCTTATTTAGACTGGAGCATTTTTATACTTCATCTATTGCTCCTGCTTTATCTTTATGTTGTGAGTGAGAAGGATGACTGCTTTGGATGCTCATTCTCAAGGACTGCTGGCTGGGTTTCAGAGGAATCGAAAGCAGAAAGTGAAGCAGAACTGGGAGGAACCTGGGAATGTGGGCTAAGCTGAGAGACTGAGAAGAGAGAAGCAGAGACATAGGGAGAATTCCTGGAGGTGATTACTAGATTGGGTTGAAGAAGTGGCTCTGTGCACCCTGGCTCCTGACAATTTGCAACAGCAAAAAAAGAAGCAAAGCTAAGATTTATATAAGAGCTTTAGGTACATCCTGCAGTGCTGGTCCACTTGCCAAAAGGAGAAGGGATACTTGTCATGTATATGTGACAAGTACATTTGCTGACAAAGGCTACTACTATTTAGTAAGTATTATCAAAATTAACTTATCACACTGAGCTCTTGTAAACAAATATTTTCAGTTTTAAAAGGAGCTGAACATAAGGATAAGTACCCCTTTCCCTTTTCCTGAGCAGCAACAGTTTTCAGATAAGATGCCTGCAAAACCCTAATGCTAATTTCTGATCTGGGATCTGTATTCTACCAACATCAGCTGCTCTGGGGGCCCTTTCAGCAGCATCTCATTTCCCTTGCAGATCTAGGGCCAAGGCTGACCAGTCATTCAGAAACCTGACTCATAATTGCCGCAGGCCATGAGGACGGACTTAAACTGAAAAATGGAAGTGAGTAGAATTTTTGGGTCCCAGGACAAAAAGCCTGAAACTTTGCAACAGATCTTCTATATGAGAGCCAGTGCGGTGTAGTGGTTAAGAGCATGGGACTGGGGCTCAGACGATCTGGGTTCTGGTCCCCGCTCAGCCATGGAGCCAACTGGGTGACTTTGGGCCAGTCACAGACTCTCAGCCCAACCTACTTCACAGGGTTCTTGTCGTGGGGATAAGATGGAGGAGGAGAATGATGTAAGCTGCCTTGAGCCCTTTGTAGGAAAAAGGCAGGATATAAATCCAAAAATAAATAAATAAATAAATGCAAAGGCACCTCATATTAGGCGCAATCACACTTGTATACATTATAACTTTCATACAATGCTTTAGATAATTTAAAGATGATTACCTGTTCTTTCTTCAAGTTTGGCATATTTTGGTGTGTTGCACATATTGCATTCTGATCTCCTGGCCCAATTAACGTTGCCACAACTTTAGGAGGAAATATGGTTGATAGTTTAGATACAGAAAATTGTACTTCAGCTTAGTTGTAGTGCATATAAATGCTCTGTATTTAAAACATTCAGGCAAATGCTCTATAAGTGTTGTTGTTTTATGCTATATGGGAACAAAGTTGCCATTATTTCCCAATATATGAATTTTTAAAAAAATCTCAGGATTAAAGAACAAGTGTTGTTTACATCATATGATCAAGGGCAGTTAGCTAAAATGTTCTAGTTGAAAGTTTAATAATATTAGCAACTCTATACAGTAGCTTGCAATCCACAAATCAAATCAACCAACCAAAATGATATTCTATGCAATACAATCAATGAAAGGCTACAGTCCTGGATAATATGATAGTAGTACAAGATTAAGGTTAATCTATGCAACACTTAATAGTACAAGCATCTCTGAATGCAGTGGAACTTAAGTCTAAACAGGATTGGGCTGCATGAAATACAGGCATCACATATTTGGAAAGCAAAGGAGGCCAGAAAAGCAACAGCAGCTCCTAAAAAACGAGACAATAAAATGTTTAACTGAAACAAACTGTATTTCAAAATCAACATACGTTTTACACTGCCAGTCATTAGCACTGAAGAGACCACGACTCTTTTCAGCAAGTGTCTTCCCTATTTCAGTCCCTCCAGCTTTCATCATCTTAGCCTCTGTGGTTTTTTCTGAAAATAGTCAACAAAAATGAAAATTAAAGCAATCCTATAAATTTAATGTTTTGTAATCCCTATCCCTCGCTTATCTCAAAAAATGCTTAATTCAGATAGTCACCTCGACCACATCTGTTGCAGCTCGTTCTTCTAGCAAAGTTAACATTGCCACACCTGGAAACAAAAGAAGAACAACTCAATTTTCTTTCCAACACATTACCTAAGAATTCCACTGACTTTGACAGTACTTTTTCCCATGTAGTATGTTTGAGATCACAGTTTAAGAGTTGGATCCAATGATGACATTCTACCAGCAGAAGACAAAACAAATTTCCCCTTGCAGCTGCACCTTCATAGAGAATTTGGGTATACTCCAGATCAGATTTGGGGAGTATGCAGGGGAAAGGACAGGGAGTTTCATAGCATAAGCAACTTTGGACTAAACCCAAAGTTTTAAAGCAAATGTCTCAAGACAAATCTATCTTCACAATCAGTGCAAAACTATCACATTCCATTTTGTTCTAGTATATCCTTTACATATAAAAGAAGCAGAACATATAATTTAGGAACCTTTAGGCCTACTGCATAACTTTTTATACTTGAACACTTCAGGATAAATACCATTGCTGAAATAGAGATTATAACACTGTGGCAAACAAGTAATCTTTTATATAAAAGTCCTATAGCAGGAGTTTGTGATCTGTGGTACTCTAGATGTTTTAGCTCACAACTTCCCTCACCACTGGCGATGGTGGTTACACCTAACGATAATTGTAAGCATAATAGTAATAATGATAATTAATAATACACAAAATCTTAAGTGTCACAAGATGCCTGCCTCTGTCCTTCGGGTTAGCTTGACCATTTTTTCAATACCTTTATAGTAACGAAAGACGTCCATCGTGACGGTACATTCCTACGATTTGAAAGCCTCAATAAACTCAGCTGAACTGCTGCAGGTATTCCCGCAAGGGCTTGCAATGGCCCACTTTTACAGTTTCCATATTAGCCCAATCGTAGAAAAATGGAGCTCCCGAAAGAAAAACTCGCCTTCTTGCTGCGACGGCATGAATGCAGTGAACGGCAACTTGGGATGCTGAGCCGGCCATCGGGAGGAAAGCGAGCGACCAGCAGAGCTTGCAATCCCGCTCCCCAAGGAAGCCAGGGTCAGTTCACCTCCCCACCCCCACCTGCCGCTCAGAAAAAAGAGTAAAAGTCGAAGACGAAAGGAAGGAGAAAACATTTCAACTCACCCCAAAACAGCAGAAGAGGCAAAGCGCAGGAAAAGGCCGCCCAACGCCACCCCTCTCCCCGTCGCCGCCGCCCGGGGAATTGCCCGCGCACGTCCTCCGCCCAGCCCGCCCGGCCGCCATAACTCAGGCCGATGTCTCTTTACCACTTCGCTCACTCTCAGGCCAGGCCCAGCCCTTCCTCCGCTACTTACTTCTTGTCCGGGCAGATCCAGTCTCCGTCGCTGACACGGAAATTCTTGGTCGACATCTTGGCAACTGCGAACGGCCGAGGCCTTCTCTTGCAGCTTAGCCCGCAAGACACAGACGACGCGACGCCAGTCTTGGTCGTGCCAGCAGCGGCGACAGAGAGGCCTTGGCTTTACTCAGTGAGGCCCTGCGGGCAAAGGGTCCTGCGCGCAACAGTCTGCCCCTTCGCACAGCCTGTTCCGCCGCGCCTGGCTGCTGATCTCTCTCTCTTAAGCCCTTTCGCGGCTTCGCGCAGGAAGGAAAGTTTGCCGGCCACACGCCTGGGCGGGGAGGGGATAATATTTCTCAGGCATTCATTTAGCCGACTAAGAGGACTCTGGCGGGAAAGAGGAGAAGCGGATAGAGCGACCCCTGGCTCACGGAGGCCGCCGCCGATCTTTCTTGTGAAGCCGCGCCCCTTCTTGCGAGATTTTTTCCCCTCTTTCTTTTCTTGCTGAGAGCGCTGAGATCAAACACCTGCAACTGCAGAAAACAGATTTACGGATTAAATGACTTTGAGCCCGAACATTTATTTGCAGAAACAAATAGGGCGGGTTCGAAGTTCAACAAACAAAATGATTCCCTTTTTCCTGTTCCTTGGAAACCCAGCACAAGTTGTGTATCGCTGGTCACAGGACTGCAGTCTTGTGGAGCTGCACAATACTTAGAAGGCAGTGCAAAGTGCAGTGTAAAGATGGTGCTTAAAAGTCTGATATCCCCAGCATCTGTTGCTTGTCTCTTAACAACATTTCACGCAATGCATAATTAATCCAAGCTGGAAAGAAATACCAAAAAATATTTGATAAGACTGCTTGTTTGTTTATTTCGAGATTTGGTGAAGACCATGAAAATAAGTTAAAAGCAGAAATGCAAAATTATAAGGGATGGTAAAAATAGCTTCAGGAGTTTGAAAGTGAGACTCTGAGACTGAATTGACATCCTTTAGTCACATCATTGCTTTGTTGAACTTTTATCTGAGGCAAACTGCCTGTCTCAACTGAACTCTGAACATAGCTTGTCTCCAAAACCTACTCGAGACCCGAATTACATTTATTGCTTTTGCTGATGCAGTAGGTGGCAGCTTAGCAACACACAATTTCAATATCGGGTGGGGATGGAATAACTCAGAGGTTTATCTTTTATTAAAGGTATAAAATGTTTTAAAATATAATTGTCAGATCTATCTGGCAAAATACAAAATGTATTGTCTCTAGGCATGAGACAATACAAGGCAAAATTAGCTATAATGATGGCATTTTAGAATGCCAGTATGATAAAAAAAATAACAGAATAAACTCTGTCTGTGACTTTGCCTATTAACCATTGATTTGATTACTGCAAGGCAAAAGATTTAAAAGGCATCTTCAAAACATAATGGTCAAAGGAATGAGAAATAATATTTTCACATATAAAAGGATTTCTTAGTGCTTGTTATGCAAGTGAAAAAGTTTTAGCACTTCCTATGTATTTTTGTCAAGATTGGGCACAAACACACTTAACAAGTTGTGATTCTGTGAAATCTGTTCCAAGTCTGCTGGATCCAGACTTAAACTTTGCTTAGACCACTTGAAATCAATGACACTCAGTTCTGATTTAATTAGTTCTTACTGATTTTCATGGTCCTTTTCTAAGCACAACACTAAGTCTGTATCTAACCTAGATCTGCACAGTATTCAATGAGCTTCCTCTTATGAAATGAACTGTTATTTGCTCTGCAGACAGCTATTTATGTGATATTTATCCTAGAATAAGAATTTCAACATCCCTCAATGACTTGCATATGTGACTTGCCTTCATAATTCAGATTCTTCAGCCAGAAGCTGTACATAATTGGGGATAAGGCAGGTGCAATGGAATGTAGCCACATGGAAGACTTATATTGTGCTTTGTATTGTTCTGTCTTTCTTGGATTGTAACATGTTCATAGAATCATAGAATAGAAGAGTTGGAAGGAGCCATGAAGGCCATCGAGTCCAACCCCTGTTGTTGCAGGACACTATGTTACACCATCCCACTCAGATGGCTGTCCAGTTTCTTTTTGAAAGTCTCTATTGTGGGAGAGCCCACCACCTCTTTAGGCAGCTGATTCCACTGTTGTATTGCTCTGACAGTGAGGAAGCTTTTCCTGATGTCCAACCTGAAACTGGATTGCTGATTGTGTAAGTGACCCAGAGAAAGCTTATGGCTAGTGGGGTGGCATATAAATTTAAATAAAAGAAATAAAATAAGAATCAGCCCTATTTTCAGACTTGGAGAGTCAAGTCCTCCAAGCAAAATCAAGGATTCCTGGTTTCACTTCTGTTTAACCATAGCATGAATGAAAGTGTAAACAGATTTAAACATACTTAGAATAGGCCCAGTAAATAAGCTGTACAAAAATACAATATCCCGAGACCAATCCTATTTAATCAGCAAGATGATGCTTGTTATGATCCTGGAACTTCTTATTTACTCATCTAGAAGTTTTTGTTTGCAAATTTTGGGACTGGATCCAGATTTAGTCATAGCAGATGCATTGCAATCAATGTTCACATCTAACTTAAACACCACTGATTTCAGTGAGTCCACACTACTTATGACCAAAGTAGATTCAACCTTGGGTTGATAACCTTTCAATTCTAATTGTGTAAACAAGGCCAAACATCTTGTATTACTCTTATTTTATTCTATGGATCAGCTTTTCAGGAAGCTGCTTGGCAGCTTATACAGAATATACGATTCCCACTGGTTAAGGATGGCCAATTATGAATTATTAAAAATACGTCTATATGCTCATATCACCCAATCTCAGTTAGTAGTTTCTCAGCCATTTAATGGACTACTGGAAATTTCTGGATCATATTCAGAGGCAGATGTACACTATATTAGTCTAAATGGGAGGTATCTAAATGGTTGCTTTGCTCAAAGTTCAAATTGCTATATAATACAGGAGCAAAAGCTAGATGGTAATTATACAGAGCTTTCGTGCACAAGATTCCCAGAAGTCAGAGACAACATAAGAACAAGAAATATTAATTGTGTGTTTACCATTATTATTAAATTTCTACCTTGCATTTTTTCCTCCTATGAGAAACCCAAGGCGGGTTAAATAGTTGTTCACTCCATTTTAGCTTCACAACAACCTTATGAGGTAGGTTAACATGTGAATGAGTGACTGGCCTAAAGGTACCCAGTGTGTTTCACAGGGAGAACTAGAACCCAAAATCTCCCAGGTTCCTAGTCCAACTCCCTAATTGCTACACTGGTATTATTGTTTAAAGTAGAACTGGTATCATTGTACAAAACCCATTCAAGGTAAGTGCTTTTGGAAATGAGAGACACATCTAGCTTTTGTGGTAAGTTTGCCAGATCTTTTCAATGGATTGTATTTTTGTGCAAATGTAAGATGGATTGTCTTCATAAAAGAAGCCACAGCCTTGAATTTACAAGAGTTGAGCAGGGCTGTCAAGGCCAGTACATTCTGCAGAACCTTCATTCATAGAGTCACCCTAAGTAAGAGATGACTTGACAGTGCACAATAACAACAATAAGTGTTTGTCTCTTCAACTGCTCATATGAACCTTTGCATTCATAAATCCAGCACAAGCAGAATTGTACCCACTGGCTATCCACCTAATGCTGTTGTATCCATTGCTTACCCTCTAGGAAAGAAGACATTTGGTGTTAGTGAGATAGGGGCCTTGCGTGAGAAAGGGATGCTATGCACCCAGGATGCTGAATGTGTGATGAACATGCATGGATGTTCTTTTCTCACCAACACTGAACATGCAGCAACCAGGAACATGACACACAAGCACTAGGAGCTGATACTGGTTGGTACAATCTCCTCCCTTCCTTGCCTCCATGCCAGAAAAACACTGCACAAAAAGCATCTTCCTGCTTGGTGATTTCTTGTTGGATGCTACCTGAATTTGTTAGTTTTTAAAGCCTCTTATTTACATGGCTGATTTTACTCTACATTATGCTTATTTCTCTTTATTGTTTGCTGCTATCTGCTGTAGAATAATTAAGGCATTCTCAGTTAGCTGCCAAGAGCCCCACTATATAATTCATTTTTTAAAAACAAAAAATTGTTTTTTGTATTTCATTGGGTGAAATGGCTTTTGCTTTGTGCATATCTGATTACACATGGAAATAACACATGCTTGCCTATTTGTCCCATGGGGAAATGGTGTTTCATCAACAACAGTCTCACTCTGTTATAACTAAAATGTACTGTTTGGAAGAAAAAAAACACACAACAACATAAGGAGCAAAAATCCTTGCAGTAATTTTTATTTAAGGAAACACATCATCATTTCTTTCTAATAGGGACTCATATTGTGGGACAAAGTCCACTTGGTATCTTTACAAAATTTTGTGTGTTTCTATGGAAGCAGGTTAATTTCAAGTCTGCAGGGGAAAACCCTCTGATACACACTCAGATCTTTCTTGAGGGGTTTTTGTACAAATATACAAGCAATAGTTGCATTTATTCCAATTGCTAACACAATTTATACATGAGAAATTAATTTCTAAGCCATCCTTATCTTGCAAAGTCTCAAAGTACACAAAAACAATGTCCATACCACCACAACCCACCATGAGTAATTTAAGTCACAGTGGGTTATGGTGTGTGCCAATGGCCAATTTGAATATCGAGCTCCTGGCAGGCTTTGTCATGGTTTCCTGTCTTTCAAACCGAGGTTGGTTGTTGGAGGAGAAAACAATCCTCCTATAAACCATGTCTGTTTTAGGGTTGAGAGTTGTTTCCCCCTTCAACAGCTGGGGACTGAATGTTCAAAATGGCTGCTGACATGCATCACAAGTCACTGTTTTGCCAAAGGCAAGGGTTCTTTTTGGATCCAGAAGCAATAAGCACACCAGTGGGTTGAAGTCTAAAGATTTTATTCTAAAGCAGGCACAATAATATAAGCAGGCACAATAATGTGAAAGAAGTACAATACCAAGCAAGCTGACTGTCCTCAATCAGTTGTTGGGAGCATCTCTAAGCGACAACAAGGAATTCCCCAATTTCGGCTGGCATGCAGCACCTTCCCCCAGCTAGGTCTGCATCAAAGCTCACCTTGGGCGAAGCTGCGAGGCTTTTTATTCTAAATTTAGAGTGCTACATGATGAAGAATAGTACGTGCTATTCAAAACAGTTAATTGGTCACATCTGTTGTTTGCAAGTCTCACGATGATAAAC